ATAATGAAGATAAACCAAGTTATTGAATTGATGAAGATGTCAAGAATAGTGAAAAATGATTTGAAGTGACTTATGTGATGAGAGGTATAACTCTAGTCTCCATATATAACAAAACATTGTGTCAAGAACTTTAGTCAAAGATCGAATCGAAGCTAAGCTTTACTTGTACACAACTAAAAAAAACAAATTAAGTAAGATTTAGATATGTTACCTTCATGAAAGTGTCTATATATGGATCTGGAATAATCCCCCCTTCCTTCTCCCTCCTATTAACCTCCATCATAATTTCTTGATGAGAAGACAACGATTTTCATTTAGTTCTCAAATCATCATTCCTTAGGATAGAATACAAAACTGAACAATGTTTAATGTGTGCATGAAGTAGGAAAACAAGCATACCTGCACGAATTCCAGTACCCTGACAACGGGCTGAAAAATCAAGTGTTTCCCTCACTGTCATCTCAGGGATATGCAAATCATTTTGGCTTATATATGCAGAAGTTTTCTGAGCTACAAATTCATCTAGTTTGTATCCGTTGTAAGAAATCTCACCACTCATCTATTTTGTCAATGAAGAACCTATCGTTAGTAAAAGCAGTTCATATGTAATACCTCTCAACTATACCCTACAACTAGTATCTTTGTCATCTTCTCAAATATGCATATTCCATTTCAAATATATTATTATAATTATAGTTATACTATTGTGTTTATGGATGTCTCATGCATGCTTAAGAAAATTATGCAAAATGGAAGTTTAAAACCTTGAGAGATTTGTTTAGGTTCCCTGAAAGTGCTTTTAACAAAGTGGTTTTCCCACATCCTGGAGGACCAAGTAGCAGAGTAATCCTGGAAATCATTGAACATGTGTATTTAGTAAAGACTGTTTCTGGACTTTCACTACTGTATAGCAAACAATCACTCCTTTTCAAGTACTGAAATCCTTCTAATTATTAAAGAGACAAGTCTATTAGGTTACTATTGATATATTGCAACTATTTATGTTATGGTTTTCACTCATTATAACGTCTTAAATTTTAAGACTTCAAAAAGTATATTGCATAAAAACTTGAAGTGACCCATTTAACTCTAGAGTGCAGTATCTAAATACTTTGGTTGACTAAAGCTTGCCATTATATCTTTAGATTAAACTGCTCTTGACAGATTTTTTCTTCACATAATTCAATATTATAAAGCTGTAATGAGCAAGTCGGGACAAGAAAGTATATATCTTTCAGTATCTAGAGATACAACAATACAGGAGACTTAAGAGAGATTGTAAAGTTGTATTCATACCTCCCAGGCTTAATGACACCAGTGACATCGTTTAAGATCGTTATCTTTGCTCGTTTAGACTTTAAACCAGGTATGATGACAAAATTCTGTAAGAGAAAAAGAAAACGTCAGATTTGGAATATTAATTTCTCAACATCAAAGCATGTCAATGGTACTGTTTTGATAAGCAATGCATACCCGCATAAAAAGAGTGACATTTTTTAAAATTTACATCACGAAATGTCACTTAGAATACATTCTAAGAAAGATTGACAATTTCTTACAATTTGGAACAATAAAACAATCCAATCAGCCTTAAATACACCTCTAAAAACTGTATCATCATAAAATGCTGGTGCATATTAAATTTAATTATAAAAAGATGTACTCACAGCTTTTTTAAATATCTGTCATCATAAAACTGCTTCTATTTAAAATTGTCTTTATAAAGTTGCAGCCATGTTCTTATAGAATTTATAATTAATTGTTGTATTATTATAAAAATAACTTATCTATTAGATCAATGGGTTAAACGTTTGACCATGCATTTATATATATGGCTCAATTAGACCAGATCAAAATAGCCAACCCGTTGACAAGCCCATCAAATCAACTGTCAAGTTAGATACTTACAGAAAGCATACTTTGCAAGGAATTCCAGAGAGTTGGTAGAGGCTTGCCATGAACGACTTCACACTCAGCTTCCACATGAAGATTCTTATATCTCACCTCCACAGAGGGCAATTGAACACCAACTCTAACAAAATAGATGGAAATGTAATAAGCTAAGATCTAAATCTACATCAAGAATTTAGAGGTGATATTGTTTACATATATTATTAAGTATTGATCAACAGCAATGTAAACCTTACTTGTCTGTTCGTTTTCTGAGTTTCTGCAACAACTGTAAGTTATCATTTTCAATGTGTTTGATGAGCTTCTCAATAAACATGTGTCGTTCAGGAGGAAGAAGCTTTGTGACATCAACCACCTTCTTTCCTCTACCATCATGCCCATCTGCATCTTCTTCATCAAACAAAGATGATCTCAAACGTTCAAATGTTGGCAATCTATCAATTGCTGCCCACTTTAGAAGATTCTCATCTGTCTCTTCATGATCGTTTGCACAACTTATTTCTAAGTTTGCACGAAAACTAGATGTATGACGACGAAATGATGATCTTAAACTTCTTCCAATCTCAGAAAGCTCAATTCTTAGAGACTCTATCTCTTCGGACCCAACTAATTGAGCCATCTAAATGGCTTTGTTGAGCTTTGTTCTTTCAATGGTACCAGTATATATATTATACAAGCATTAATATATAAAAGGAACCTTTTTCGTTCATATGGAGTGAAGTTCGTGCATCATGGATTACGCAATATTAACTAAAGAAGAGTTGTTTAATGGTGAAAATATATTTTAATACCTTGAAAATGTATTCTCAATTGTTTTTGCCATTCTAAGAATAAACTACCCCTTGATCCCTTGATCAAGTTATAAAAATCAAAGATAGTTGACTTTTTTTAATATTCATAATCATTTGTCATGTGATCATTAATATTTATTTTTGTTATGGCTCTATTATACTTTAAATTAATAATCTAAATGATAATTAGTTTAAATAAAAAAGAATCACATTATGTAAAAGAATTGTTTTTTAGGTTTTACTTTTATGCAAACTAGTTATTGCTCTAAACATTAGATGTAAAAAGGAAAACATGTTTACTTGGCAAAATTGGTATAGTTGGCCGTTAAGAAAATGTTGACATTAATGATACTAATTTATGATCTCGAAAACCGGGGGTTGGTGCATATAGACAGTCTTCTGAAGATAATCAAGGGGAAAAACATTCTTCACGTCTAGCTGATGAACATACCAAAGATGGGATATGGCAAGATTAAGGACAATCCAAATGGTTGTCGGCTTCACAACCAGACTAAATATCTCATCACCGTCAATACCGGGTCGTTGGCTACACCCATTGGCAACTAGGTGAGCCTCGTATTGAGCTAAGGATCCATCTGTATTAAATTTCTTCTTGAACAACCAAATGTAGTTAAACAATGTTCACATTAGAGGGTTGAGTCACAAGTATCCAAGTACCGTTAGAAATAAGTGCATTATATTCATCTTTGTTATGAACTGACTTATAAAAACAAATTCAATAAAATAAAAAAGCAACCAACAGCTTCAAATATTGATTGATAACCTCAAATATACCCAAAAGATTACAAAAACAAATGATAGGTTGACTGATTCCAGATAGCTACTCTCCTAAAGAATAAATTCCAGATTTCACAAAAAGGTTGATGGATACCCCACTCTCCCTTTCCACTACCCTCTTATACTTTTTGACATAACAAACTAACAATATGAAATGCCCAAAATACCCCTAATTCTCCTTGTACTAGTAAGATGCTCTTTATTTGTTGATTTCCCAAACTACCCTTATCTAAAACAACATGATATAGTGGATGCGTAACAATATCCCGCCCTCGAAGAACCACCTTGTCCTCAAGGTAGATAAAAATGATGTATAGCATCCTAATTCCTCCGGTTGGTCTTTTTATCTTATCCTCAGCCTTATAATGATCTGCAGTCGAGATACTTATTCCACCCACTTGCTCAACTATCCCTAAGTTCATCTTAACAGATTCATCAATCTTCCCATTCTCATTAATAATCAAACACATGGGCAAGTACCGGTCACTAGAACCACCAGCCTTCTTGAACTTGACTAGAGCCTTAGCAATCTTGCATAGCTTTGAACCAGTCAGGATCTCAGAAAGCTTGAAAGTAATTGTGAGCAATATAGGAGTAAACATCACTATGAAGGTTGAGCTTTTGAATTGCCTTTGTGATGTCGTGTCTTGCATGGGTAGCCATAGGGTGAGTACTAGTGGTGGGAGAATGAGTAGGGTTGGGAGGAACCAGTGGCGATGTAACTAGAGGTGAAAAGGATGTTGGAGTTGGGGAGGCTGCAATTGAATCGAAGAAGATATTCACGAGTTTGGAGGGAGGGGGGGTAACCGAAGGCTGAATGGCTGAGTCTTCGGTAGTGGTGGGAGAGGATACAAAATGAATTGGGTTAAAAAGTTGGTTTCTATCAAATATGTCAAGAAAATCATATGGTGGGGGTGATCTGAAGCCATGGATTCGAAAGGGAATATATATTCATCGAAGGTGACGTAACGACAAATGATTATTTTCTTGGTGTGGAGATCAAGACATTGGTACCCTTTTTGGTTTGAAGGATAGCCGAGAAAGATGCATGGGGTTGATCTTGGAGATAGCTTATGAGTATTGTTAAGGCGGGGATAGCAAAGACAACCGGACACACAAAGATGAGAGCATGAAGGATGATATTTGAACAATTTATGGTAGTGTTTGTCGTTTTGGAGAGTGGTGGAAGGAATAATATTTAGAAGGTGAGTAGCCATATGAAGAGCTTCTACTCAATATATTGGTGGGAGTTGAGCTTGGAAAAGATGGGTGTGAACGATGTTGTTAACTGTGTGAAGCATTTTTTTGAATTTGCCATTTTGTTGTGAGGTGTAAGGACATGAAAAATGTATGTGAATGCCATTGGAGTCACATAATTGAAGAAATGACTGCTTATTGAATTCACCCCATTATTGCATTGAAATGTTTGATTTGTTGTTTTGAATTGATTTTGAATGAAGGGGAAATTGACACTGTAGCACAATCAAGTTTTGTGTTTGTCCCGGATTGATCATTAAAACTTGAATTTTACCTATTAAATAGGTGCTTGAACCAAAAAACTACCGGTTCTCAGGTAAACAATGCTTAGTTGGCATGCTGATATGAAGACATAAAGGCCATATCATAGCCACGTGTTCTATTTGTCCTCTTAGAAAATTACTTATTTTTATTTTTTGAAATACAAAGAAAAAAATTTAAAAAGTATAATTAACCCCATATTATTGATCCATGATTCCTTCTCTTTTACACCAATTTCTTTTTCTTCATGTCACATCTTCTTTTTCTTCATCAACCTCTTCGTATTTTTACATCGTTTTATACTTCATCTTTGAACCAAATTTCAGAAGCAAACGAGCCATAAGCAACCTTTGAACAAACGATTCAAAAGTAGCCTTCGAACCTACGATTTTAGATTTGAGTTTTGACCACCTACGATTCCCATGTTCATCATCATCTTCACTTCGCGAAGACACCATTTTCAGACATGCAACCCAGAATCAAGGAGGTTGAGAGATGATAGACCACGTTTGAGAGGGTTAGTCTCCCAAGACTAGAGAGAAGAAAATGGGTAATTTGGGATAATTTTCTGAATATTCTTTCCAATCAAAGAAAATAGATCAAATTAAAATAACATCTACCCCTAATGTTGAGAGCTAAAATTGTCAAAATAAAAGGAAACATAGAAAGTGGAGATACTGCACAACCTGACTCCTAACTTATTTCTCAAGTTGAACAACCTCAATTTCTTGAAATTTGGTGAATTTTAGTGACCAATGCTTGGGCCTTTGCTGATGAGCTGTATCAAGAGACATAGAGGGAAGACAAACATAAATCAAACAATAACAAATTATGATTTACCCCCCCCCCTTCAATCTCTAATAAAATCGAACATGACGTCGGATCCCTATCAAAGAACTAGTTTTCCTAACTTTCTGCGATGCCAATCAAACACAGAGGGAAGACAAATAGAAATCAAACAATAAAAAATTCTTCCCCTGTTCATCGTCATCATTTTTGGACCTGCAACAAAGAATCAAGGAGGTTGAGATATGTAGAGGGGAAGGCAAAAAAAAATCGACAGAACGACTCACCCGGCTCCGACATTCCGACCTAGTGGCCTCCGACCGTCGATTCTGGCATCTGAACACACAATCAGAAATTCAGCGATAAAAAATTCCGATTTATCCCCTTCAGTGTCTAATAAAATTGAAGCTGACGTCGGATCCCGATCAAACATCCGACCACCATGACCATTTCTGATCACTATAGTTTCCGACAACAACATGGGTCGCCGTTCTTGAAACTAACGCCGATGTGCACTGTTGCTTCCTTATATCTCGATTCCTCTACTTTCCTTCTCTCGCATCTGTTTCTCAATCGCAACTAAAAAATAATAAAAACTCTGATTTTAGTTTTGTTGGTCGTAGATTATGGTAGAGAAGAAATGGTTCTGGATGGCTGTGTGCCTCTTCTAGGTCAGATAGAAGAAGAAGGGGCGAATGAGATAAATGTTTTTTGTATTTCATTTACTACATAAATAAAGTTTCAATTGTTAATTTCTAAAAAAATAGAGAAAAAGCCATGTGGACTAAGAGTTACCGGTGAAACCGAAATTAATATGGACGATTCCCCTATTTAATAGGTAAATTAATATTTTAGGGACCTATTGTGCAAAAACAAAAACTTAGATGACCAATCCGGGACAAACCCGAAACTTGATTGTGCTATAGTGTCAATTTCCCTTAATGAAGGTATTAAAATGAAGGAATCTGTTGAACACTTCATATTTTTGTCTAAGAGGGTACACACAAGAAATGAGAAAAATGATCTAGAAAAATTACATAATATTTTATTCCACTGTGACTTTGTAAAGGAGAAGTCCATACATCTGAATGAATAACTTAAATAGGTAAAGAAGCAATGGTTTTAGACAAATTTAAAGGTAATCTAGTATGTTTTCCTAACTGAGAAGCATGACAAATAATGTAGATTTTTATTGGTATATGAAATAGAACATCTAGAAAGTGAGTATTGAAAAACATTTTGTCCGGGGTGTCCGAGACGATGCCACGTGGAGTAGCGGACCGAATGAAGAGCTTGAGGTGGAGAAGCGGTGATGGGGTACAAGTCATCTGTGCTATCACATCAGATGAGGAGTTGGTGAGTCCCAAAGTCCTTTACGGAAAAACCAAATTCATGAAATTCGATTGAGCATTTATTGCCACGAGTGAACTTACGAACAAATATAAGATCTTTAATAATTTTTTGGGTAATGAGAATATTTTTGAGAGACAATGTACGAAATGGGTTTTGAGAAAGAACAATGTTACTTGAATAAGTAATAGATATGTGATATCCATCACAACCAAAACCGAAGATAAATTGCAATTATTGCTAAAACACAGAAGAATACCTGAGTCGGCATGGAGGTGAGCTGTTGTGCTAGACTTTATATACCATTTTGCATTACCCGGATCATTGAGGCTCGTGGAATTAAATGATTGTGGGAGAGTAGCCATTTGGTCATTATTTTTTTGCATGGGGAACCATTGCCATGAGGAAGGTCCACCGATAAAAGCATTTTGTTAATGTGGTGGGCTAGAAAATTGAGGTTGGTTGTTGGCCCACTAATTTAGCTTGTCTCTTTGGGCCGATGGAGAAGGGTATTGGGCTGATAAGGGAAGCAGGTCACGTGAAGAAGGCTTACCAAGGGATCTAACAACAAATTTTGAAGTAGGCGTTGCCCATGGACACCAAATCCAACTGTCGTTGGTACCATTGAAGTCGACAAATGGATGATTTGCGCCGATAGGAAAATTACGACCACCTCCATTGTGATTTATGTCTCTGTTTCTTCCTCCTCAAGATTTCCGACTGATATTTCTTGTTAGATTAATGTGTCTAAGCTTATAACTAAATTGGTATATTCTTGTAATTAAAAGCAAAATCCTTTTTGGGTTACCCTCGTAACTAGAACTTGGTTAGAATAACATTTGGAGAGAGAGAGAGAGAGTGAGAGAGAGAGAGAGAAAGAGTAAATTTATTAGTTTATTATATGATTAATAAGTTGTATTAAATGATTTGTTAATATATTATATGATTAATATATTAATTAGAAATAGATAGTTCATTTGTTAATTTATTATGCGATTAATAAATTAATGTGAGATCAACAGTTAAATAATTGATTTGTTAATTTATATGATTAATTAATTAATCCGAAATCAATAAGAATTGATTAATTATTAATAAGAATTAATTTGGAATTAATTCGAGATTAATTGGAATTAATTAAACGTGCAATGACTGAACTATAATTATTCAATAGTTAAACAAATGAGAGGATCCATAACCTTCCATAAGGTGGACGGTTTTGAGGACCCTTTTAGGGTTTTTGGAAGCCTCCAAATGACAATTAGGAAACTAGATAATTACATGATTTGAAATATATTATTATATGTTTAAATTTAGGGTTTTTAGGGTTTCCAAGTACCTATAAATAGGACCAAGGACTACAAATGATTGAAGTGATTTGTTTACTACAAAATCAAAGGTACGTAACCCTAATTCCATGATTTTCGAATATATTAGGGTTCATGTTAGTTTTGTTGTTCATTGTATGTTGCATTTAAAGTGGTATGATATAGATCCTTATAGGTTGCATGTGTCATCTTAATTGTTAAGTGTTTTTCTTCATTGTACATGTATTTATAACCTATAAAATTCATTAGTGGTATCAGAGCTATCTGGTTGTCTAACATTGAAAGTGCATGAGATGAATTGAACAACTTTTTTTTGAAAACTTTATGTTACGACGTGACACGCTCTCCGTCACAACGTGACATTAACACACACCCAAATTTCGGGATTTTCCGCCTAATCTTATTGGTGTGGTTATTTTTAATGATTATCTGATTTTAATTCTACCAAAATTCGAATTTTGAATGTCTTAGATAATTAAAAATAAAACCCTAAATATTATGAGATAATCTTGAAAAGATAATATTTAATTATAAGATTAATTAAATTGAATTTATCATTATGGATCTAATAATAAATATAAGATTAATGAAAAGATAATTATAAATCCATGATATGTTTAAATTGACTAATTAATTATATGATTAATCTAGATAATTAATATTTAAATCCTGTGTTTTAAAAGGTTTTAAAATACACCTTTTATATATATATATATAGATATATATATATATATATATATATATATATATATATATATATATTTATATATTTATTTATTTATATATATTAAACGTTTAATACTATATGTATAAGAAAAGTCAGTCGAGTCAATAGTAGGTCTCATTCATGAAGCCATGCTATAAGAGGGGTATAAGGAGATGACCTATAAAATGAACGTTGAATGGGTGTCATTTTCACCCACCGCTCCTTTGCGTGGTAGATGATCGTTAGCCGAACGAGTTTGATAGGTCATAAAAGATTAAAAGTATAATCTATAAATTAATAGAACATTCAAAATTCACTCTAGTTACTTTAGGAAAATGTGAAATTGTATAATAATCAATGAAAACGCACATCATTTCTTTATGAGTCGTTAGTGGAGCGTGCGTGGTTAACCCACACACTAATGTGGGACTATAAAGATGAAATGATGAAACAACTCTTGCTTATAACTGTTCATGGATTGTGTGTGGTTAACCGACACATCAATGGGAGATAATAAATTGATCACGGTTGTTTGAGCAGATTTACATGGTTATTCACATCCTAATTGTGATCCTCGGCATCCTAGTCACAATTGGTAAGAGCATAAGCCAAGATTAAACATGCCATTGATGTTTCAATGAAAATTTCAAGAGATCTAGGCGTTTCATGTGATTGAAATTGGTGAAATGTTTCTACCCACCTAAAATAGTTTCGTGATATGACTACAACATCCCTCTTCATATTACGAAATGAAAATATGGATCCTAGCCTTAATTTAATTTTTGGGTTAATAATTACATATTAAAATCAACTAACTAGGATTCTCTCTTTTACCACTTTTTAGATGTCAAATCATGATAATAATAGTCTTCCTCGTTCTCATGGAAATGGTTTTCCTCGATCTTCTGGAGATGGTCTTCCATATTTTGATCAAGTTGAAAATGTCTTCCCTTCTGGTAATAGTAGAATTGGACATCATCCTTCGTCAACTCTTCTACCCCCTCATCCTCCTGTGACTCTCCCAACATCACATTTTCCACAAGTTGAAAGATATGAAACTACTCAAGCCTTATTGGCATGTAAACAAGAAGACGTAAATTCTGTATGTGCACATCAAATCGTACATTGAAATATTGGAAAGAATGGGTGTGGTATTCCCGAAGGAGAAAGCCATTGATTTGGTTCTTATCTCGTTTCCTAAGTCATATGGCCAGTTCGTTGAGAAATTTCATATGAGGAATCTCGATGTGAACCTAACTGATCTGACCGAGATGTTAGTAGTTGCTGAAGTAGAAATGCCTAAGAACACAACTGAAACAAAAAATGCTTATAAGGTCTAATCCCAAGGTTTCCATCCACATTGACAATGATAACATTTGTGATCAAGAAGATATTTCTCTTCCCAATCGAAGGGATCGACCAAGGTCAAATCATTCCATCATATGGTAAAGCGAAAGGCTCATTCTGAGATCATTCCACATGTTGACCCTAATGAGTCCATTTGTTTCTAATGCCAATTGAAGGGACACTGGAAGTGAAGCTACCGAAAATACCTAAAGTATATTAAAGATGGTAAAGTCAATTCATGTGACTATACTTCAGGTACATCCATTATCTAACTCCATAAGTTCCTATTTATAGACTCTTAATACATAATGTGATGATCACTTTGATGGTATTGCAAGATCCAAAGGAAATAGGGAAGCTTAAGTAAAGTGAGCTAAATCTGATCGTGGGAAATAGACTTTGGTCACATGGTTCGATGGTCAGAATTTGGAGTTACAACTAGGGAGTTAGGATAATTTTAATAGATTGCTGTTACTCTTCGAAAATGTCTAGAAATATAGTTTTTCATTTTATGCATAGTAAGGACAAGTTCCGATTTTCTATTTAATCAATAAAAATGAAGTTTTGGTTTACATAGTTGCCTCATTTTATATTTCCTTGCAATGGCATAAATTAATGTGTTGATCATGTTTCTAATAATAGCAATATTAATTATGGATTTGATTCTTATGATATCGCGCTTGTGGTATTGTCAGATTTGACCAAGTGAAAAGAAATCTCATTACCAAGTTTCAGTTGGACAGAAACTTGGAGTCATACAATTCGAATTGCATGATGCATGAGAATCTTGTTCATTGGAAAATTATGACTGATTCATTGTTCACATGTTTATGTGAGACAAGTGAAGGACTAATGGATCTAGTTCATGTTGATATGAAGTCTTCAGATCCACCCAAAGGGACGATGACTATATTCGTCATGATTTCTTGATGCTTCAGTAAATATGATTCTGTTTATAA